TCCTAACCTCTAGTATCTGCTGTCCTGCTTTTTACTTCTATGAGATCAACTTATTTTAGTTTCTACATATGAGTGAGAATACGAAGTATTTAGCTTTCTATTTACCGCTTATTTTCCTTACTGTAATGTCCTCTAGTTCCATTTATGTTGCCACAAATGATGGGATTTTATCCTTTTATGGCTGAATAGTACTCCATGTTGTATATATACCACATTTTCTTTATTCATCTGGTTTTGGACACCTAGTTTGATTCCCTGTTGTGGCTATTGTGAATAGTGCTGCAATGAACATGATGCAGATGTCTCCTCAATATACTAATTTATCTTCCTTTGGATAAGTATCCAGTAGTAAGATTGCTGGATCATATAATAGTTCTATTTGTAGTTTTTTTGAGGAGCCTCTATACTGTTCCCAATAGTGGCTTAACTAGTTTACATTCCCACCAACAGTGTATAAGAGTTCCCTTTTCCCCACATCCTCACCAGCATTTGTTGTTTTATTTTATTTTTTTAATAGCCATCCTAACAAGGGTGAGATGATACCTCATGGTAGTTTTAATTGGCATGTCCCTGATGATTAGTGATATTGAGCATTTTTAAATATATTTGTTTGGCCACTTGTGTATCTCCTTTTGAGAAATGTCTGTTCAGATCATTTGCCCATTCTCTTTTTAGTTGTATTTTTGTTTGCTGTTGAATTGTTTGAGTTCCTAGTATATTCTGAATATTAATTCCCTGAGGGATTAATAGTTTGCAGATACTTTCCTTCCATTCTGTAGGTTGCCTTTATACTCTGTTTATTGTTTCCTTTTCTGTACATAATTTTTTAGTTTTATATAATCCTACTTGTTTATTTTTATTTTCATTGCCTATACTTTTAAGGTCTTATTCATAAAATATTTTCCTAGATCAGTGTCATATGTTTGGTTTCAGACCATTTCCCTTATGTTTTCCTCTAGTGGTTTTATAGTTTCAAGTCTTACATTTATGTCTCTTACCCATTTTGAGTTGATTTTTATATAGGGTGAGAGATGGGGGTCTAATTTCATTCTTCTGAATATGGATGATTGATTTTCCTAACACCACTTACTGAAGACACTGTCCTTTCCCCAGTGAGTGTTCTTGGTGACTTTGTCAAAAATAAGTTGACTGTAGATATGTGCATTAATTTGGGGTTTTTTTTAAATATTATTTCATTGGTTTATGTGTCTGTTTTTATGCTGTTTTTGTTACTACAGCTTTGTAGTATATTTTAAAGTCTGTTAGTGTGAGGCCTCTAGCTTTGTTCTTTCTGCTCAGGACTGTTTTGGCTATTTGTGGTCTTTTGAGTTTTCATACAAATGTTAGGACTTCTTTCTATTTCTATAATGAATGCCATTGATATTTTGATAGAGATTACTTTGAAGAGTCTGATTATTTTACCAATAATAATTATTCCAGTCCATGAGCATGGGATATCTTTCTACTTGTATCCTTTTCAATTTCTGTCAACAGTATTTTTGGTTTTTCTTGTAGAGGTCTTTTACCTCTTTGGTTAAATTGATTTCTAGTATTTTATTACTTTTGGTAGTTATTGTAAATGAGATTCCCTTATCAATTTCTTTTTTAGGCAGTTTATTGTTCATGTATAGAAACATTACTGATTTTTGTATTTTTTTAGGTAGTTTGTTGTTCATGTATAGAAACATTACTGATTTTTTATGTTGATTTTGTATTCTGCAACTTTACTGAATTTGCTTAACAGTTCTAGGAGGGTTTTTTTGGTAAAGTTTTTGGGTTTTTCCCACACATAAGGTCATTTCATGTGCAGACAGAGACACTTTGACTTTCTCCTTTCCAATTTGGATGCCCTTTAATTTTTCTCTTGCTCAATTGTGCTGGCTAGGATTTCCAGTACTGTGTTGAATAAGAGAGACCACAGCTTTCTTTGCCATGCCTGTGTGGTTAGACAGATACATCGCTCATGATTTTCACTTTTATAAAGAACACTGGAACCAACATCTTTGAATATAAAGCTTCATTTATATTTAAAGTTATTCCCTGAGAAAAGATTCTTAGATATCCAGACAGATAAGACTGAATTTCTTTAAAGTGAAGATACATATTTACAAATTACTCTCAGCAGTATTAGCCTCATCAAACCTTTGCCCTCTGCTGTATTTGACAATCATGCACAGAATTGGCAAGTTTTCTAATATATTACTTTCAAAATCATTTTTTGTTGTTGTTGTATTACCAGGAAGTGGAAGATCATTCTAACAATCTACAGTCTGCTGGCACCTCTCCCAGTCTACACAGTTTCTCAACGATAGTCATTGTGACACTGCACAATCATTTGCATGTCTTCTTCAGTGTTCTGGGTTTCATGCTTTATTTAACCATCTCAAGCTCTTTAAACCAAAACACAGAGTATGGTGCTGTTGGAATGGAAGCCAACAGGAGCTTAAAAGCTTTGTCCAAACATGAAAACAGAAATGAGTTTGCTCACTTTAATTGTCATATGCAAGATTTAACGTGTAACTTAAGCTTTTTGTACATCTCATTTAGAGCAATATCCTTTACTATTACTTTTTTTCTCCACCATTTTTCTTTTCTTTCATCTTCTGGGTATGTTCTTTTAAAAAACTTTGTTATTGAAACATAACATGCTTCAAATTTTGTGAGAAGATTTTATACGAATGATTCATATATTTGAACCATGACTTGTCATGTTTTTTAACATTTCTGAATTATCTACTTTATAAAAGGAAATAATTGTTTGTTTTAAAGAGAGACACTTTTAGTATTTACGAATAAGAAAACACTTGTTCCAAAGAACAAGTCATGTCAACCCAACCTTCTTTCTTTAAGACAGTCTTTGCACTGATTGGAGAAATGCAATAGACAGAGTATCAGTGTCTAAAAGGAATTTGAACCTATTCTCAAGCTCAATGCATAAGCAGTTTATGATATTAGTTCAGATTCTGATTAACAGATGAATGTCAACCTGGAAGAAGGAATCTAGGACATGTCATAAGGTTCTACCATTGATATTATCCAGATTGTTACTTATATTAATGATCTGGATGAAATTAAAGAAAAAATTGATTTCTAAAATATTTCAGCTTGTGGAGACTGTAATGACGGGTTGTAGTACTTGGATCAGTTGAAAAAGATGGAAATTGTAGTGGTAAATATGACTCTGTACTTGGGTTTCAAAAATAGAGTCACACTCGTACATGTACAGGCAGACTTATAACCAATACTTTTATTTTTGCTTAGGGGAGATGGATAAACACTAAGATGTTGCCTATGTTAATAGAAGCCCAATATAAGTAAGGATAATAGTGACAGTCTAGATAATCATATATCAATAAGAACATGTATAGACTGCTGTTTTGTGTTCTAGTCACTGCACATTGAGAGGACAAAGTGGTGTTTGTCGTAGAATGAGCAGCTAGGATAGCTCGAAAGACTTGAACTCTTACAATATGAGGAACTGATGAAGAAGAATGTTTATGAGCCTGAGAACCATATTTCATTATCCAGACCTCTTTTATACACAAGCAAAAGCAGACTTTCTGTGCATTCTCAGGAAAAGAATGAAGACTTGGCGATAACTATGAGATTAATTATGGGGAGTCATACTTGGATGTAATAGAAGTGATCATTTCCAGCATTACTAGATGGAATAGAATCTGCTGTAGACATTGTCATGTCTTCTCTACTTCTGGATACATGGGAGGATTCCATTTCCCCATCTCACTAAAATTAGGCATGGCCATTATTAGGTTCTAGCCAATAAAACATGCATAGAACTGAAAGTCTCGCTTCTGATTCAAAGCATTTGATTGATAGTGCTTTACTCGTTAGCACTCTTTCTCCCGTTGGGTTACAATGGACATACCAGCTATGATCGCTGAGTGGTTACAGTGGTCAGAATGTCTCCCAATCACCCCCACTCCCACCCCTTAGACTCAGCCACACACCTACATTGGACAGGTAGTTTGAATGGAAAATAAACCTTTGCTGTTTTTAACCACTGAAGTTCATGGGTTTTATTATGGCCTCCTAACCTTTTCTATCCTGATTGCCACCACTGCCTTCAAGATGCAGTGGTTCTTTGTGAATGAGCTGCAGCAAGACAAGAATTGGATTATTGACAGATTTTTGGTTCAGCAACTCACATACTTGCATTCTTTGCATTTTACTTTTATTGCTACACTCAATTCAGACTGTTGTTGGGGGTATAATTTAGTCAACTGGAATTTTCAACTGGCTCCAGGACCTCCTGAAAGATGAATCCCAGTAAAATGGGCAGAGATAATTCTCTTCCTAAGCACACTTCATTAACTCCACTGCGTGCCCAGCAACATCACACATTTATGGATCCTTTTTACTTTGGAAACAGCTAACAACAACTAGATAGTTCACCTGGCAAAGATTCTATTGCCACACACATTATTTATGAAGGCTGCAAGGCCCACACAAGAGCTCAGGGGAAAAGTAACTTTTGAACGTGAACTTTGCAGTTTGAGTTTGGCACGTTTCATATAGACTGAACTATTGCCAAGTATCTCTTCATTCTATGCATCTAGATGCATTATTGCTGGTAACAAAGTTTCCCAAGGATGCCCTGCTTCCATCTGCTCACTCATGCAACTGAACAAAGCACACTGCATACCCCAAGTACCCACTAAGTGTTATTGTTGAAGATGATGAGTGCTGGGAATTATCTGATACGTTTATAAAGTGGTTTTGTCTGGGAAAGAGGTTTATGAGATGGTAGGAGCCAGGAAGTGAACTGAATAACATATGTACCTACCCTGAGAAAAAAATTTAAAAAATGGAATTAAAGGGTGATCCGATGGGGGAAAAAATGGAAAGGGCAAATTTAAAATTATAATTAAAAATACATATGCATGCATATATATGCAAATATATATGTGTATTTGTCTTTATATAATAATTTTACATAATTCACAGCTAATTAATTGCCAACTCATTTTTGTTGTTCACAGGAGACCAAAATCAACTGTGTTCGTCTGGCTACAAAAGGTATGTTGGCATCTGCTCGTCTGTCTTCACCTGTTCTTCAATCATTTAAGTGTTTCTTTCTAGCCACACAGAGAAAGGTTAGGCAACAATAACTCAAAACCAGAAAGAATTGTTATTATCACTGGAGTCATTTGCATCTAGAACATACCTTCTAGGGTGTATATTAGTAGCGCAGTGCGTAAAACAGAGTAAAAGTTTAAAACATATTTACTGAATGGATGGATGGGTGGATGAATCTATAAAAGGATGGACTGGTACATTGATCAGTGGAATGATGGATATAAATTTACTCAAATATTCTTTTCATATATGTTTTTCTTATATTTAGGTCTATGTTTATGTGGGTATTTTTAAAGCATGTTTATTAGACCCATCTACTGAGTTTTGTACTTCGTTCAATTGGTACACGGCTTTCAAAAATGAGGTGATTAGTACTGGGGCCTTTAGTAATAAGAAGACAAATGCTGCATTATTATGTAGTTGGCATTTTCAACACTTATCCCCAAAACTAAGGCAGCATTGTTCAGGCTCATCACTTTTGTTTTCCTAATTATAATTGAATTGCCTGGCTCTTTCAATTGGTACATGTTTCTGTTTATTACTCTTTTTAAAAAACAAAATCAATGAATCATTTGCTATCATTTAACCTATTACAGGGTTGAATAGTTAGAAACCAGATTTATCTTTTTGTTACAGAGTTGATGTTTTTAACAGCAAACCTCCCCATACACACACACAAAAATTGGACAATTCTACTCTGTTCCCTTAATTTACTGATGGCATATATAGTTTCATAGACTGCTTCCAAGGAGATAAAAGTTGTAAACATAAGTAGGTATATACTCATAGATGTAAAGTACAGACAAAAGTGATGACCCAAGTATGTATGTGTATGTGTGTAAATATATAGGCACATGCACAATGGACAAAACCACACAGAGGAACATACACACGTGGGCAGAGTGGGGAGAAAAAGAAAAAAATCTACAGCTACTTGACAAAATGTGCACCAAGACCCATCACGCATGACTTTTATAACTTTGAATAAAATCAACCCAATATTTAAGCACAAGAGAGAAGATGCAGGAGGAAGAAGAAAACAGAAGCACTAGGGCTCCCAGTGATAAGAAGTCACCCTGATTTCACATAAGTCACAGAGGGTGGCATGTCCCTAACTTGTTCCCTCTCAGGAACTCAGGCTCCTGGATGGAAAGAGATAAAATACTCTCTGCGAGGCAAGGAGAATTGATGGCCTGATGGCCTGCAAACAAAAGTGACACAAATCACAGGTCTTGGCAGACTTTTCCACTGAAGAAAACAGATAATGTAGGAGGAAGAGCACTATCAATTGGGTAGCACTAGGGCTCTAGACAGCAGTCGGGACAGCTGGGTGTCTACAGCCTGCTTTAAGGCAGCTGTAGCGGGAAGGAAATTCACAGACAAACCTCCTTCACTGTGGTATGCTCTATGGCTCCTCAGTGGCTTTTGACTCATAGACCAGGAGAGATGGATGCAACGGATCTGCACTCCATGGGGTAGGCGGGATTCTAAGGACACCCTCTGGGATGTAAGCTCTATGAAACGGTAGCTGCCTGGGTCATAATTTCTGAACTGAGAATTGAAAACGTGAGGCCTGACAAGCAGTAGGAACATACGGGGACAGTGGGAGAATCTCTAAAACTATACTCTCCTGAAAACTTCAGGACTGCAGTCCTGAACATACGGGGACAGTGGAGAATCTCTAAAACTATACTCTCCTGAAAACTTCAGGACTGCAGTCCTCAGAGGCATAGAAGCCCACGCTGCTGGGCTTGTATTGCATTGCTGATGTGCAAGAGAATTGCAGTGACATTTAAAGAACCAGACAGAAGAGTTCTCTCCCTCTCCTTAGCATAAGGGCTTCCCCTCTTGCCTGAGCTTTAGGTTACCATCTTTTGCCATCTTTCCTTAAGTGAATGGAGTGTGTATGCAGGTTAAGTGAGCATGTGTGAAAGGACAGGAATGCATGAATGAGTGTGAATGCCCGGCTGTCCAAGCCCAGGCAGGCTTCTGAGAGGTCAGCGTATTGGGGAATCTGAGCATCCACATCCTGGTTTTCTAATTCGGTGAGATCCAACACTTGAGCCCAAAGAAATGGGGCTCCAGTGGCACTTGGGAATGGGGCAGAGAACCAGATAGTACAGAATGCCAGTTGGACACTGTTCAATTATCCCCTCTCACCACATCAGGTTAGAAGGATGCTTGGGGAGCGTAGGACAAAGGGAAGCAGACCTGTGTTTGATGAGTGTCTACTTGGTGCCTGGTACTATGCTTAGCGTATCTAGGGTTGATTAAAGGCAAACCCTATCTATTATAAATCTGTCCACTGCCTGTGAGGAGTTTGTATCAAGAACTTAAAGCTGGGAATCAATATTCTGTTTATCCCATCCCTTCCTGACCACCTGGATCAAATTTCCTCTAGGCAGACTTGCTGAAAACAGTATTCTTTTTAACAGAGGAAGATACTGAGAATCCCACAGACTTTGGAAGGATACAAAGTCCCAGAGATGGGTCATCAGTCTCCCCCAAGGCTCTTCCCTCTCTCTGTCATCATGGCATCTGCTTCATGGGTCTAATGGAAGGCATCCAGACCCTGAAGTTCATATGTCAGACTCGAGGCCAGTACTCTGGTGATGAAGCAACTTGCTGCTGTCTGGTCCCTGACGCCGGATAGTCCAGCCAGTGTCTATGACCAGATGGTTGCCAGTTGTAACAGCCCTAAGCACTCATTCAGTGTCATTCTAACTTGACCCCAAGCCTAGTGCCCCTTACACAAGAATATTAGACACACACCTGGCTCCAGCATGTGTCTCCAACCCTTTCCTTTCTGTAATGTTGCTACTAGTAACTCGATCTAATTTAGTACTGCCCAGCTTGGAGGGTTGCAAAGTAATGGACCTGTATTAGTTTCCTGTGGCTGCTGTAACAAAGTCCTACAAATTGGTTGGCTTACATAACACAAATTTATTTTCTCACAGTTCTGGAGGTCCAAAGTCTGAAATCAAGGTGTCTGCATACTTTGTTCCTTCTGAGTGTTGTGAGGAAGAATCTGTTCTATGTGTGTCTCTTAGCTTCTGGTGGTTTGCTGGCAAATCTTTGGCATTTCTTGGCTTTTGGAAGCACCACTCTGATCTCTGCCTTACCATCACATGACATTCTCCTTGTGTGCTTGACTGTGTTCAAAATTCCCCTTTTTATGAGGTTACTACCACCTAATCCAATAAGGACATTTGATTAGGGTAGCAAAAAGCAAGGGAATTGCCTTGAATATAAGAGCTAAAAGACATTTTGAGCACTTTGCTTGATACACTCTAGACCTGGGAATCGATCTGATCAGAGCCATAGAGAGAAAACTGCAGCCAGTAGGTAAACAGGCATTAAGTGATGGTTTGGATTTAAAACTATTATTCAGACTCTGAAAGGAAGACAATAGAAAGCCACAGAGCAAAAAAGAGCAATTTAAAAATCAGGTTTTGTTCTTATCATTAAAACAGGAAATGTTAGAAAGGGCGAATGAGCAGGGGAATCATTTAGAACCATTAACACTGTATACCCTTCCTTTGGAAGATGAGGGATGGGCTCAACATAGGCAGCAGATTGAAGATGTTAGCCACAGGTGCTCAAGGTGATCCTTGAGAAAATGGAGCATGTGGAAGCTTGGGGTAGGGACTTAGACTTCAGAGGTGCTAATGCTCAAGTAGAGAGAAAATAACCCTTCCCATGGGAGGTACATTATCCCATCTGGTAGAAGATGCCCCAGACTGCAGCTGCTAAAGGAGGTACCCAAGTATCTCAATTCATGTCCTCTGGCTGAGACAGAGCAGGCTAAGGGAAAATTGTTTCTGACCTAGTCGTTCAATTCTAGAACTATATTGGTCAATCCCCCTTTGAGAAACTGATGCCCAGTTCCATCCAAGTTCTCTTACCCATTGATATTCTGTCTTCCTAATTCTCCCTGTGACTCCTTTCCTGCACTCATCTGTTCATTTTGCTACTTTTTCTTACCCACAGGCCTTACCCCAGCAGTCTTGTCTGCATGATCTGACCCCTTCCTCCCTCCAGCCTCCTCTAAGCTTCTATCCTTTTATTCTTTTATTACACTCTGGCATGCTGGTCTTCTTTCAGTTCTTCAGGCATATCAAACTCCTCCCAAGCTTGGGGCCTTTGCTCATCTTGCTCTCTCTCTGAATTGCTTTGGCTTCCGTATGTGTCTCCTTAACAGATAAATATCTTAACAGATAAGTATCTTTAAGATGGCATCTTAAACCTTATATCCTCAGAAGATCATCCTGACCTCTATTTTAATGTATATCCCTAATTTTCCACTCTCACTAAACCCTGTACTTTTCCTTCATAGCACTCATCACAACTTACAAATACATATATATGTGTGTGTGTGTGTGTGTATATATATATAGTCTGCTTACATGTTTAATGTCTATCTCCCTGCTAGACTCTAAGTGACGTAAGTGCAAAGACTGTGCTTATTTTGAGCACTGTTGTATTATTCCCAGATCTTAGCATATACTGGTACTCAATGAAATGCATTGGATGAACAAATGGATGGGTGGGTGGGTGGGTGGATGGATGGATGGATGGATGGATGGATGGATGGATAAATGGATAGATGAGTGGATGACTAACAGGTCATTATTCGTCCATGGCTTCATTTTTTTCAAATGCAAGTTACATGTCAGGATTGTTCTCTTAAAGGGTAGGAATAAAAGTGACAGAGGTAAAGGGTCCACTATGGGATCTGCAATCTGCACTAACAAGAAGGCCAGCCAGTCTCTGTTTCTGTTCCTGCTGTGATAGGGATCTCTCTACCCACCATAGAGCTGCTTCACACTTTGGACACGTCAGTTTGAGAAGGCTTCTATGTTATGAGTCCAAACTGGCTCCCTGTTATTTTCCTGTCCATCAGTTCTTGAAGTCAAATGGATTCTGTCTACCATTTCTCC